GGAAGGTTGGGCAATCCTACTTCCGTAGTGATACTGCCTCGGAAACCCAAGGAGGGGTCGCTATGAGTCGGGGCCGACTCCACGGCACATAACAACAACAACAACATAACAAATATCACAAGTGGGTGGCTTTAACAAACAGAAATTTATTTGCTCACAGTTTAGAATGTGGAAGTCTGAATTCAAGGCACTGCCTCTAGGGAAAGGCTGTCTTTGTGAGTTCTGGGAGAAAAGAGGTCTCAGCTTCTCCAGCGTTCTGGGAATTCCTTGTTTTATCAGCTATTTCCACATGGCATGTGTATTTCTCCTTTTCTACTTGCTTCTTTGTCTCTGTGCCTAATCTGCCCTTTTTGTATCTCAAAAGTGATTAGATTTAAGACACTCTCCACTGTTAAGTCTTCATTGCCATAATGAAGAAAACCCTGTTTCCAAAGAGGATTACATCCTCAGGTATAGAGTTTAAGATTCCAACACATAATTTTGGGAGACACAGTTCACAGTAACACCTTTCCATCTTTTTGCCAAACATACCAAGTTCCCTAAAACAAGAATCTATATTATTTTTGGCCTCCCTTTTTTAGTAAAGTTCCTTTCAGTGTGCTGTGCACACAGTGGACAAGAAAGGTTGAAGGAGCCAGTTTACTATTTGTTATTGTTGTTTTTAGACCTTTGGGAAAGAGTTTGGGAATGGAGGAGTCCAGGTATGATTTGGAGATATTAGTGAAGGTCCCTTATATAGCTGAGCTGGAATTTGAAATATGACTGACAATTAAGGAGTTGAAGAAGAGAGCAAGTATAGACCATTTGGAAGAATGGAGCAAGCAAATTGTGAAGATGGGAATGATCAAAAAGTAACCCAGGCAGTAAGGAGAGCAGTTTTAGTGGTGCAGAGGGTTTGTGGTGAGTGTGCGGTTGGCTGTCTCTGTAGATAAGGTAAATTCAGGTTATGTAGGGTGTAAATGCTGGAATAAATTGTTAGTGGTGAGCACTATTTAAATAATTTTGCTTTATAAAAGCATGTATTTTGATGTTCATTTGGTGCTCTAATATATGCTTTTACATTTAAAATTAAATTTATATACAGCTTTCAAAATTTTATATCTGAATTGAAGTTCTTTATCTTTCAAAATCTATAGTAACAGAGTCTGAAGTACTTTAGAATTGTTTAAAACATTTTTGATGCCAGAGTTCTGGGTATTCTCTGTTTACTTCACTAGACCTGTTCTCTACTCTTTTCTGACCTGCTTTGTGCTCAAGAGGGCTGACTTATATGGATTGCATCCCCTGGTATCTCTTCTTTAAGGCTTCTGATTGATTAGCTTTAGGTAGAGCTGGCAGAAGTACCAGCATAAGATTGTAAGGTGAAAGAAAAATAAGGTCAAGGTTTTTATTCCCCTCCTGTCAGGCACCAGTTTGACAGTGGCTTAGTACAGATCCTGCTTGGCTGTCCCTCTCCCGTGTCTGTGCTCTCACTAGGTTCAGGTGATACCAGTTCTACTTTTTATTCCTCTACACCTATGGATAGTAATGACTTCTTGCTGTTGCTGTCTGGATGCTTCACCATCTCTTACTGTTTCCTAAAATCCTGTTCACACCCTATAAATTGTTACTTCATTAAACTCCCTTCAACAGACTGATTTTGGGTGTTTTTTACCTCTTCTTTTCGTGTTAAAAAAAAATGTTGCCTCTCCCTTTAAGTAAGTCATATTAAAACATTAACAATTTTTTTTTTCCTGTATAATTTTGTTCATTTTGGAACTTGCTTTACTCTCCACCCATTATTCATTTATTTTTCTAAGATGATAGCTGATATTTTATTTTGATCCTGGACTTCCTTGTTGTAAAAGTAGAGGGTTTTTTTTTTTTTTTTTGCCATTTTCCCCTGTGTGTACTGGCCATCTTTACTCAGACTTTTCTTAGGAAACTTGGGATTCAGTATCCTCAGAACTGAAAGGATCATATTTTTATTTCTTATTACATAATCTCCACAAACAGCCATTCATAGCCATGCATAAACAACCTGCTTTTTCATCTGTGTTCTTTCTTCTGGTGAATAATAATGCCATCATCTATTGCCAAAGAGTTGAGACGTGGGTATCATCTTGACTATTCTTTTCACCTTCCTTCTCAGAGTCAATCTGTATTCAAATCTTATTGATTGTGCCCCTTAAGTATGTCTCTCATGTGTCCCTTTAGGCTAACTTTAGTTTGAATCTTAGCATATAGCTTTGTGATTAGGTAAGTTATTAGATTTTATCACTTTTGTTTCTTTTATTTATAGAATGAGGAGAATAAATCTTATGTCATGGCATTATTGTGATGACTTCAGGGGATGATATATATATAAGTATTTGACCCATATAAAAATCATTAAATAGTACCTGCTGTTACTAACTGATTACCTGTTTAAAAATATGTGATCAGTGAAAAGAGTGAGCCCATCAGAGGCAGATCTAGGTTTAACTCCTTAATTGTGTGCCCTGTATAAGTAAATTAACCTTTTTGAGCCTCTGTTCAATGGAAATATCATCTGTCTTATAGCAGACTATAAAGGTTATATGATCTAAACTCTTAGCTTATCAGGTTCATGAAATCACAGTTGTACTTTTTGTCTCCCTCTAGAATAAGTACATCCTTCGTAAAACTGCCAGTGTGATTTTTCTCAAAGAACAATTTGATCATGTCATCATTGCCTTGCGTAAAATACCTCAAGGCTTTCTGTTACCTTCAGCTTAAACTTCATATTTCTTGGTACAGCATAGAAGGCCCAGTTTGATATGATCCTTCATTGATTTTCAAATTTCATTCCCACTCCTAGCTTTAGCCAAATTTATGTATTTTCTGAAAAGGCTGTGCTTGTTCACTTACTTTCCTTTTTTCATCACCTTAGTCTTAAAATATGTTTTATTCTATCATGTAATTTATTATTCTGCATTTATATGTCCATTTGTCTATTTATCACTAAACTGAGGACTGGCCCTCTTTCTTATCTTTGTTTTTCCAGATGGGAGTTTGTTGAATTTCTAAAAAGTTTGTGTAAACCAATTTTTAGAGTCAAATCATAATGTAAATACCTAGGATGAGCTTACTTTTTAAAGAAACTTTCAGTGAATGTTTTATATAATGAAGAACTAGTGTAATGTAAGTAACCATGTCATAATTTGTTTTGTAAATATAGGTATTTATAAATTCTAGCCTATGCATCCAAAAAGTAAGGGTAGATGAGTAAAGTAGAATGCTATATAAATTCAGGATAAAACATTGACGGTTGGCTGCTATTATGTTTGTGAAATCAGCTTGGAAGTTAGCGAACTGTATGTGATAACTGTTACCTAGAAACATGGAGTTATTTATCCTGACAGTTAAGTATTTTAAAATAAAATCTTGAGTTTAGGAATACATAATCCTGAGAATTACATCTTGCACATTAGAATTCTTTTTTGTGTTTTATGGCCTAAATGAGACATTGATACCAGGAGAAAAATAAGTACTCACGTATTTTATGATGGCATTTTTTTCTCATAATCAGTGTGCTTGGAAAGTTAGTTGTTATAAAAATTATTTTAAGAGAAGATCCTGTTATTCAGGAATATGGTAATTAAAAAATTACTCTGGTAAGGTACTTTGGAGTAGTTTATAGGGTCAGAGGATCTAAGAATATAGATCTTTTGAGACCGTTACCTCTTGGCTTTTGATGTATGGTGCTATTTGTGATGCTGGAAAAAATGAACAAATTTTCATTTGATGTTATCATGTGAATTTTAAAATGCTTTTCTATTTTGAGATAAGTATAATTTAGGAGAGAGGAAGATAAAACTGGAGAGTAGTACAAAATTCTTCTTTTAATATTAATTTTCTTTCTAAACAGGGAGTTTTGAAAAATAAATGGTCAATACTCTACCTCCTGCTAAGCCTTAGTGAAGATCCACGTAAACAGCCAAACAAGGTAAGTGGTTGTATTTTAGCAACTTGTTTTACTGGGAGAATTTTACCAACTTTTGATAGGCATGAGGTTCTGTAGTTAAGAAAATATTATACAAGAAGCAAAAAATTTACCTCATTTTCTGGACAGTCATGAGAGCTCAAGAGATGTCTTTCTTTTTTTAATTTAAATTAGTGAGCAGTGTTTCCTTAAGATATATTCCAAAATTATGTCATTACTCTCATATAATAATATGCAGTAAAATAGAACATATATTATCAATTTTCATAATTTTTACTTTGTAAAGTTATTAATATTAGCACAGATAACTTTTTTTTTAATTAAATGAATTATAAGGCCCTTTAGATTTTTCTTGTGCTTTCAGTTAATGTTATGAACATCAGTTACTGTCAATACTAATGCAAACTTCAATACTAGTGAAAACTTCACAGGATTAATTTGTGTCACATGCAGTATTTGAAAGAAGTATTTTGGAGCTCCCTGTCGTACAGAAAAAAAGCAAACAAATAACCAAATTCACTGCCACCAGTCATTTCTGACTCATAGCGACCTCTCCTTGGGTTTCCAAGGCAGGTATCTCTACGGAAGTAGGTTGCCCAGTCTTCCTTCTGAGGAGTGGCTGGTACAGAGTATAGTTTAAAATATGTAATAAGATATTACAGAAACTTGAGTGCTTAAAGAATGCACTTGAGTGCTTGAAGAATGTGTGTAGAAAAGTCCTATCTCTAAAGCTTAGTTTGCCCTGAGGCCAAGAACTAGATGGTGCCCAGCTACTGATGCCACCTACTCAGGAAGGGATCAAAATTGGAAATCCTGCATAGAATGGGAGAAAAAGTGTGGAATGAAATGAAACAGTAAAAAAGACCTGATTTACTAGTCAGATAGACACTGGTGCAACTCTTAAGACTATGGCAACCTGAGTCACCCTTTGGGCCTGGAGTTGGACTCACTCTGTGACTTTATTCTCAGCTAAATAATAGACAGTCCTACAAGCTGAAAAACTACACCAGGGAGATGGACTCCTTAGCACAATTAACCATGGGAGATTAGAAGGGCCTCATTTGCATGGGGAGAACTGTAGGAAGGCAATGCATAGGCAAGGACACAAGGAAAGGGTAACCACAGGGAGGAAATGGTAGGAGAGCTGTTATACTGCAGGGATGTAACCAGTGTCACAAAACAAAATGTGTATGAACTGTTGACTGTAAAATCAATCTGCTTTATAAAATTTGACCCAAAACATAATAAAAACAAACAAAAATAATGAATAAAGCTTAGTCTGATTAATTAGTATCTGCTTATAAGTCAAATATTTAACAATTACTTGAGTTTTTAGTTTGTTTAGATTCTAAATCAATAAAGTATTTAGTTATCGGACATTGTGAGAGTTACTGAAGTTCAGAAAATTTTCTAAAACTCTGTCAGTTTTGGCATATTTAAAAAGTGTAATAACTAATTTATTGTTTAACGAGTGTAAAATCCAATCATGAAAATTGAAAGGTGATGGATTATCTTTGTTGATTTGGGCCAGGTGTTCTGTAATTTCATATCTCCATATTCCTAATGCATTTTAATTTTATTTTAAGATTTCTAGCTATGCCACATTATTTGCTCAAGCATTACCAAGAGATGCTCATTCAACTCCATACTACTATGCCAGGCCTCAGACTCTGCCCTTGAATTACCAGGATCGGAGCACCCAATCAGCACAGAGTTCTGGCAGTATGGGAAGCAGTGGAATCAGCAGTATAAACATGTATGCCCTAAATGGCCCAACACCAACACCACAGTCTCTCCTTCCTGGGTAAATCCAAGTTTCAATGCATAGATTATTGAATAGTAGAAACACAAAATTCTCAAGCTTTTAATCAGGTATTTAGTTCCTCATGTGTGACAGGTGATGTTGTAGATGCTGTATTTATGTATTTATGTATGATTTATCTTAGGATTTTAATCTCCTTTAAACTATCTTACAATTAGGCATTTTTTCCACTTTTTAGTCATAGTTGATTATAAAGATCTGTGACTGTAACTCTTAACCTGTTAATGAAAATGCATAATCATAAAGGACTTAGTTCATAGTGAAATATGCTGAGCCTTTTATGTGGAGATAACAGATTCACATTTCTCTTACTCTGTTGTCAGATTTATCTGTCAATGAATATTTTTTCTCTTCATTGATGTATGTTTTTCCTTCATTATTTAGTAGAGCTGTCTTTTCCTGAAGTGCTGTGAGGTCTTCGAGCTAAGTCTTATGGCATGTTAGTACATATGAATACACAACTAAGTTGTTACGTACTTTGTAGTTTAACATGCTATCAAATCTACTTATGTTGATGAAGGGCAGAACTTATGATCGAGAATAAAGCAGTTGCCACAGTAATTATTATAGATGTTTAGAACTTAGTTTAACAAAATACACGTTTCTCTGTGTAGACATACAGATGGCTTAGCTTTTTGCCATAGTTCATTCTTGAAAATCACAATAAACCAGATTATCATAAAGTGAACATTTTTCCAGAAGCATAGTGACCAAGGATTCATCATTAAATAAATGATGTCTGCCACATGAACATAATATAGTTATAAATCACTTGGTGATTGAATCAAATTATGGTCAAGATATTGGAAAATAGAATGAATCAACACACATTGATTATATAGAGGCCCTGGTATTCTAGAGGAGATTCTGAAACTTGCCTTTGGGCAGAGAGTAGCTAAAGCAGATGGAAGAAATGACAAGGTAAAAGAGCTAAACAGAAAATTTCAAAGAGCAGCTCGAGAAGACAAAGCCAATTATTATAATGAAATGTGCAAAGACTTGGAGTTAGAAAACCAAAAGGGAAGAACACACTTGGAATTTCTCAAGCTGAAAGAACTGAGGAAAAAATTTAAGCCTCAAGTTGCAATATTGAAAGATTCTATGGGCAAAATATTGAATGATGCAGGAAACATCAAAAGAAGATGGAAGGAATACACAGAGTCACTATACTAAAAAAAATTGGTCGATATTCATCCATTTCAGGAGGTGGCATATGATCAAGAACCAATGGTATTGAAGGAAGAAGTTGAAGCTAACTGAAAGAACCAGGCTCCAGGAATTGAAAGAATATACATTGAGATATTTCAACAAATGGATGCCCTGCTGGAGGCACTCACTCAGCTATGCCAAGAGATTTGGAAGATGGCAACATGGCCAGCTGACTGGAAGAGAACCATATTTGTACCCATTCCAAAGAAAGGTAATCCCATAGAATGTGGAAATTATTGAACAATATAATTAATATCACATGCAAGTAAAATCTTACTGAAGGTAATTAAAAAACGGTTGCAACAGTATGCTGACAGAGCGCTTCCAGAAATGCAAGCTGTATTCAGAAGAGGACATGGAATGAGGGATATCATTGCTGATGTCAGATGGATCTTAGCTGAAAGCAAAGAATACCAGAAAGATGTTTACTTATGTTTTATTGACTATGCAAAAGCATTCGATTGTGTGGTTCATAACAAATTATGGCTAACATTGAGAAGAATGGGAATTCCAGAACACTTGATTATACTCATGAGTATAACCTGTATATAGATCCGTTCAAATAGAACAAGGGGACACTGCATGGTTCAGAATCAAGAAGGGAGTGCATCAAGGCTGTATTCTTTCATCCTACTTATTTAACTTGTATGCTGAGCAAATAATCTGAGAAGATGGATTATATGAAGAAGATGGTATCAAGATTGGAGGAAGACTCATTAATAACCTGCAATATGCAGATGACACAACTTTGCTTGCTGAAAGTGAGGATGACTTGAAGCACTTACTGATGAAGATTAAAGAATACAGTCTGTAGTATGGATTATACCTCAAGAGAAAGAAAACAAAAAATCCTCACACCTGGTCCAATGAACAGCTTCATGATAAATGAAGAAAAGATTGAAGTTGTCAAGGATTTCATATTACTTGGTTCTACAATTAACACCAGTGGAAGCAGCAGTCAAGCCATCAAATGACATATTTCACTGGGTAGATCTGCTGCAAAGGACCTCTTTCAAGTGCTGAAGAGGAAAGATGTCTCCTTGAAGGCTAAGGTGTGGCTAATCCAAGCCATGGTATTTTCAATTGCCTCTTATGCATGTGAGAGCTGGACAATGAATGAGGAAGACTGAAGAAGAGTTGATTTGTAGTGTTGGAGAAGAATGGTGAAAGTACCATGATCTGCTAATAGGACTAACAAATTTGTCCCCAGAAGAAGTGTAGACGAAATGCTCCTCAGAAGCAAGAATAGCCAGACTTCATCTCGCCTACTTTGGTCATGTTGTCAGAAGGAACCATTCCCTGGAGAATGAAATCATACTTGCTAAAGTGGAAGGTCAATGAAGAAGGGGAAGGCCCTCAACAAAACAGACACAGTGGCTGCAACGATGGGCTCAGTTGTATAGCAATGATTGTGAGGCTGGCACAGGACTGGGAAGTGTTTTTTCTGTTGAGCATAGGGTCACTATGAATTGGAGGTGACTCGACGGCACCTAACCACAACAGTATTCTATAAAAAAATAGTCATTTAAAAATGGTACTCTATAAATTTAATCTAAAACTTGTAGTCTGGCTAAAAGATTAAATCAACATTCTTACAATTTAGGATTTGAGTGAATTACTTTTTTTAGTGATTTTATAACAGAACTGTATAGAGAACTTTAAAATGAAATGGTCTTTTAGGGTCATTCCTTTAAAGTTAGAACTGAATTCAAGGCATAATTTTAGTAAATATTGTTGTGGACTATTTTTCTATTAAAATTTTAAATTACTGAATTAAAAAATTAATAAAAAATTAAATTATTCTATTAAAAAATAGAAAAATGAGGCTGTTTTGGTTATTTTCTCTTACCCTGTCTCATTTCACCACCAGATTATATCAATATTACACTCGTAGTAAATCAGAACTTCTACTTAGAAATAATAGGGACAGTTGAAATTTTTATTTTATGTTTTGCAGTCATAAGAAGTGATTTTTTTGTTAACAGCTGTCAAAGCATGTTAGAAATGCTTTAGTGATCAGGTTCTTAGGTTTTCAAAAAGCATCTTTAACATACTTTCAAAATTACTAAAAATAGGCTACCTTTGTGTGGAATAACTTATATTTTACGTGTTTGTATATTTTTTAAAAAATCAGTTGTAATTTATGGTATTTCTTTTCATACTGACACTTGAGGATAGGAAGAAGTATGTTGTTGTGAGTTGTTGAGTTGGACCCGACTCATAGTGACCTCTCCTTGGGTTTCTGAGGCAGTTATCACTATGGAAGTAGATTGCCCCGCCTTCCTTCTGAGGAGTGGCTGGTGAGTTTGAATTGCCAGCCTTCTGGTTAGCAGTCAAGTGCCTTAGGCACTATGCTACCAAAGCTCCCAGGGAAGAGGTATATATAGTCTTACAGAATGTTTTTACACTCCTCTACTCAGTAAATGTTGAGTGAATGATAGATGTTAATTTTGAAATCAAAATTAGCAGTATATTATTCATGTTGTCAGAAGGGACCAATCCCTGGAGAAGGAGATCATGCTTGGTAAAGTAGAGGATACGTGAAAAAGGGGAAGAACCTCAATGGGATAGATTGACACAGAGGCTGCAACGATATGTTCAAGCATAGTAAGGATTGTGAGGATGATGTAGGACCAGGCTGTATTTCATTCTGTTGTGTATAGGGTTGCTATGAGTCAGAGCTGATACTATAACACCTAAGAACAGTGTGTTGCAAAATATTTATAGATGCATGCTAGGCAATTGTAAAGAAGTCAAAAGACTTTGATTTTTATGGTAAGAAATACATATCGGGTAGTTGTTGTTACTTGCTGTTGAGTTGGACCTGACTCATAGCGACCCCTCCTTAGGTTTTCGAGGCGGTATCACTATGGAAGTAGATTGCCCAACATTCTTTCCAAGGAGTGGAAAGTGGGTTTAAACTGCCAGCCTTCTGGTTAGCAGTCAGCACTCTTGTGCCCTGTGTCTTAGCTGAATGAATCCAACTTAGCACTTAAAAAAGGAGAGCAAAATGTTGACTTTGAATGTTAGGCAAAGGATTTCAAGGAGGCTGGCAGATTTTAAAGAAATTCTGTGGTACTGTCATTACAGCATTGGTCTAATAACCAAAAGGTTGGTGGTTCAAACCTATCAAATACTTCATGGGAGAAAGATGAGGCACTTTGCGTCTGTAAAGGTTTATAGACTTAGAAACCTATGGGGCAGTTCTACTCTGTTCTATAGGACACTGTTAGAATTGACTCAATGGCTGTGGCTTTGCTCTTTGCTTTTGTCAGATTTTAAGACACTTAAGATTTATTATTTTTGTTTATTATTAGGTTATGGTAAAATATCACCCATTTCAGATTTATAAATTCATGTAATTCAACATAGTAATAAAAAGAAAAAATTATAGGAAGTTTTGTTGTCTTTTCAGTGAATAGCATGGTTATTTAAAGGTAAAAAATATTATTTCATCCTATTAGACAGTCTCATCAAGCTCCGGGAATAGGAGATTGCCTTCGACAGCAGTTGGGGTCACGTCTTGCATGGACTTTAACTGCAAACCAGCCTTCTTTACAAGCCACTACCTCAAAAGGTATTCCAAACACTGTTTCTCGCAACATGACAAGGTCAAGGAGAGAAGGGGATGCAAGTGGTGAGTAAGGGTATATTTTAAAATAGTTCTTTTTTCAACATTTGGAGTTCATACTTCCTTTTTTTAAAATATTTATCAAGATATCATCACTAAAACCTTTCAATGGTTTCTTATTCTTATGCTGATGTCCAGATTCCTTAATACGGTCTGTGATTCTTTTGGGAGTCTGATTTTATTACTTTATGTCATCCTTTCCTTGCTCCTTGAGCTGCAGCAAGAAACATCTTTTATTCCTCACCTCCTTTTATCTTGGACATGCTGTTTCCTCTACTTGAATTGTCATTTTCTTTGCTTCCTTGTCAAATTCCTGTTTTCTAATTTCTTTTCTCCCTTTTTGTCCTGGGAAAGCCTCTCTAGTCTTGGTTGGGTCCCCCTATTAAATAGTGTACTTTCTTCCACCACAGTCATAAGTTCCATGGAAGTAGGCACCATTTCTGTCTTGTTCACTGTGTTAGTACTTAGTATGTTGTTGTTGTTGTTATTTGCCGTCAAGTCGCCCCCGACTCATAGCGACCCCTCCTCGGGTTTCCGAGGCAGTATCACTACGGAAGTAGGATTGCCCAACCTTCCTTCCGAGGAGTGGCTGGAGTACTTAGTATAGTGTCATATTAATATATCGAAGAAATTCAGTAAAGAGTATTTGATGAATAAATGAATACCTCATTGAAAGTTATAAAGGCTGCTATACTTTAGAAGGAAGTTTTGAGTTTTTTCCTTGATGATGATACTCTGAATAGCAATGTTTGAAATGTAAAGATCTTAAAAAGAGAATGCACTGAGTGTTGGTTCCTAATCTACTGACTCTGAAATTTCCTCTATAAGTTATCTTTTGTTGTCTAGAATGCAGAGATCAAGAGCATCTTTTAGAATTGTGAGGGTAGCCTGGAGTCCTCAGCAGTAGTCATCAGCATCTGCAGAAGTCTTCCTGTCCTTCTTTGTAGCTCACACTTACCAGCCTTTATCTATCCATTCTAGCAAAACTATTTATCATATATAACGGCTATGAGTTCTTGATTTTAGAATGTCAGTTGCTAGATTGAATATGAATGCTGTTCTCTGCTTATATCTTTTTGTTTGCTTTAACTCTTTCTTTCTAACCAATATCTTCAAACTTGTATTCTATACAGAACTATGAGATGAAGTACTTGAATAATCTGAAAGACTACCACTTGTCTTGTCAGTTTGTCATACTATGGTGGTTTGCATGTTGCTGTGAGGCTGGGAGCTATGCTGCCTTTGTTTCAAATATCAGCAGAGTCACCCATTGTGGACAGGTTTCAGTGGAGCTTCCAGACTGAGACAGACTGGGAAGAAGGACAGGGTCATCCACTTCTGAAAGAATTGGCCAGTGAAAACCTTATGAACAGCAGTGAAACATTATCTGGTATTTTACTGGAAAACTTCATGAATAGCCTTGAAGCTTTGATAACACAGTACTAACACAGTGAACAAGACAGAGGCCAGAGTGCCAGAAGATGAGCTCCTCAGGTTGGAAGGTGCTCAGAATACAATTGGGGAAGAGCTGCCTCTTCAAAGTAGAGTCAAAGTTACTGGTATGGATGGAGGAAAGCTTTTAGGAACTTCATTTGCTGATGTGGCACAACTCAAAATGAAAAGAAATAACCACAGATATCCATGAATAATTGGAACATGGAATGTATAAAGTATGAGTCTAGAAAAATTGAAAGTTGTCAAAAATGATATGGAATACATAAAGTTGGATATCCTTGGCATTGGTGAGCTGAGATGGACTGGTATTGGCTGCTTTGAATCAGATAGTCCTGTGGTGTTTTATGCTGGAATGACAAATTGAAGAAGAATGCCATTGCATCATTATCCAAAAAAAAAAAAAAAAAAAAAGGTTTCAAGATCATTCCTGAAGTACAGTGCTGTCAGTGATAGGATAATATCCACATGCTTACAAGGAAGACCAGTTAATACTACTATTATTCAAGTTTACGCAGTAACCATTAAAGCCAAAGCTGGAGAAATTGAAGATTTTTGCCAACTTCTTTAGTCTGAAACTGACCAAATATGCAATCAAGCTGTATTATTACTGATGATTGGAATGCAAAAGTTGGAAACAAAGAATCATCCATAGGTGAAAAATGATAGAATTTTGCAAGACCAATGACTTATACATTGCAAATACCTTTTTTCAACAACATAAATGATGGCTGTACATGTGGACCATCAATTGCTCATATGCAAGTTCAAGTTGGAGAAAAAGTAAAACAAGTTCATGAGTGCCAAAATATGACCTTGATTATATCCTGCTTGAGTTTAGAGACCATCTGAAGAATAGATTTGACACATTGAACACCAGTGACTGTAAATCAGATGAGTTGTGGGATGACATCAAGAACATCATACATGAAGAGAACAAAAATTCATTAAAAAGACAGGAAAGGAAAAAAGGACTAAAATGGCTGTCAGAAGAGGCTCTGAATCTTGCTCTTGAACAAAGAGTAGCTAAAGTGAATGGAAGAAATGACAAGATAAAAGAGCTGAACAGATTGCAAAGTGTATCTTTAGAAAACAAAGTAAAGTGTTATAATGAAATGTGTGAAGACCTGGAATTAGAAAACAAAAAGGGAAGCACAAGCTTGCATTTTTCAGGCTGAGAGAACTGAAGAAAAAAATTCTTGGCTCAAGTTGCAATTTTGAAGGATTCTATGGGCAAAATATTGAATGGTGCAGGAAGCATCAAAAGAAGATGGAAAGAAAACACAGAGTCATTATACCAAAAAGAATTGGTTGATATTCAGCTATTTCAGGAAGTAACATGAGATCAAGAACTACTGGTATTGAAAGAAGTCCAAGTGGCAGTGAAGGAATTGGTGAAAAACAAGGTTCCAGGAATTGACAGAATACGCTTTGCAGTGTTTCAACAAATGGATGCAGCGCTGGAGGCGTTTACCTGTTTATGCCAAGAAATTTGGAAGACAGCTCCCTGGCCATACTTGGTATGGCTCTCCGAGCTGTGGTCTTTGTGACTCTTGCAAGATTACTGCGTGGAATTGTGCAATGTGAAGTGCGTGTGGCCCACAGCGGGGCTGGATAGCTTGCTAATAATATAAATAAGGACATGGTACCCTTGGTGGGACCATGCAAATAAGATATACTGAAAAACCAAACTGCCTTCGAGTCTGTTCTGACT